AATTGTTTTCCGTCTCTCACTTAACATGATCAACACTAGGTTTTTAGCATGCACAACGCGAGGTCTGCCAGTTGTACAATATGTTATTATGGCGTAGGCCTACACTATTTACGTGGTTATTAAATTTACTGTAGCCTGTTTCATTTATATTTAAGGCAAAGGAAAGAAAGGTGAACCAAAAGAAGAAGAAAAAGCTGCTGTTCAAGTTGGAATTTACATTTTTCCAAATGGAGACAAGTATGGTAGGTGTAATTTGTTCTACATTGTAATTATATTTTATTATTATTATTATTATTATTATTATTTTATTTTTGTTTAATTAATGTGGTTTTTATTCATAAGTAATTAAATTATTTATTCTGGATTATCAGTTTTAAAATGCAAAACAAGTTTGAAATACCTTTTATATCAAGAAAATTTTACAACATCAGTTCCTCTTTCTATATTTTCTTACTGTTGGACCACTGGGATTTAATGGGAATATCATTCATATAGTCTAAACTAGTGCAGTAATAGTATTAGAGCATGATATTTTACTTGGCTAATTAATAATAATAATAATAATAATAATAACAATAATAATAATAATAATAATAATAATAATAATAATAATAATAATAATAATGGAATAATGATAGTAATAATGATAAGTGAGATTTTTTAGCGCATAATTTAGAGGTCACTATATGCCTTTGTACATTATTGAATTTAGATGGCGAGTACATTCTGACGGATGATGGGTCAGTTGAAAGACAAGGGGAAGGGGTTCATTCATCAGCAGATGGCACTTGTTATAAGGGGCAGTGGGAAAAAGACAAGATGAATGGAAATGGAATTTTGACACATCCAGGAGGTAGCAGTTTCGAGGGAGAATTTTCGAACAATCGGTTTCATGGTAGAGGGCGGTACACATTTCCCAACGGCTCTTTCTATGAGGGGGAATTCCATGAGAACAGGTAAGGTTTCCATCTACTGGATATATGGTAAAAATGTCAGATTATTTTATATATAGG